AAAATACAAATTTCAAAACTTAGGGTTAAAGATACGAGTAATTTAAAGATTGAAAACACTAGTGTACAATTTATAAATTAAACTTGCCATCGTTTAATGGAAATATTCAAGATTGGTTAAGCTTTCGGGATCTTTTCATTTCAGCTATTCATAGTAATAATGCATTATAGGATTCACAAAAGCTGTCGTATTTGAAGTTATCCCTTCATGACGAAGTAGCTAGATTCTTCAGTCAATCACAATTTGTTATAGTAGGTATAGAATTGCTTGGAATCTTTTAGAAGAAAGGTACTTCCATAAACGTGATCAGTTCTTTGCTCAAATAAAGAAATTTCATGTCAATTTCTTCCATACAAAATGAAAGCAAATCTTCTATTTTAAAATTAGTAGACACAGTAAATGAGAGTGTAACGTCTCTGAACATTTTAAACCAAAAATTAGACGGATTCTCAGAAACGTTTCTTGCATATATTTTGCTATAAAAATTAGATTTTTCCCCTCGTGTTTGGTGGGAACGAGATTCAAAAACAAATGAGCTACCTAAATTATCTGAGCTTGTTACATTTCTAAAAATTCATATGGAATTTTGCAGTCATCAAAGTCATCTAGTATGTTTAAAGCAAAAAAGGGTCAACCTACTCAAAAGGTAACTGCATTGGTGTCAAATGTTAAAAGTTAAGATTTTAAATGTATTTATTGTAAGAGTAACAATATCCACAAGTTATATAAATGTAATTCTTTCCTGAAAATGACTGTAAGTGAACGTCTTGAATTTGTTAAAAAACATAAATTATGTTTCGGTTGCTTGGCTTTTAATTCTACTCATTCTGTAAAAATATGTCGTTCCGAATTTAGCTGTTTACAATGCATGAAAAACCATCATACTTTGCCGCGTTTCCCCAATCAAGATATTTCGTAATCTTCTGCTGCCACAGCGGCTCGTGTAGGAAGGGGGGAAACATAAAACCTGTTAATACTTCTGACCACCTTGAGTAGACAATTCGAAGCCAAATGCTGACGCCGGATGTTTTGAAATATTATCTAATTGCAACCAAATAAACAATTTAGAATTCATTGGCTCGTCTGTAACTGCTTCACAAGTATTCTTATCTACTGCGATTATTTATGTTAAAGTTTTTCGCAGGAATTTTATTGTTCGCCGAGCTATTCTTGACAACGGAAGTCAGTGCTGTTCGTTTACTTAATGATTTCGCTAAGACGTTTAAAAGAAAAAGGAATTAACACATCAATTGCATGTTTCAAAGAGATGGCTCAACCGTAAAATGCAAGCTTACTGCTTTGATATCAAACAAGCGTGATTACCACAGAGCTCTTGAATTCTTTGCTGTAACTAAAATTAGTGATTTAGTGCCAGTAAATTATTTTAGTTTTTCACTTTCAAAGCTTCATCAAAACATTAAATTAGCGGATCTTCATTTTAATTAACCACAGAAAATAGATGCCTTGTTAGGTGCAGAATGCTTTTATGAACTATTGAAGGCTGATCAAATTCATTCACGAAATTCGAATTTAACTTTTTAAAATTACTTGTTTGGATACATTGCTAACGGGGTAAATTTTGGTTCATATTCAGAAAATACGATTCAGTGCGGATTTATGAAAGTCGAAGAAGACTTAAATTCACTAATCAAGTTTTTTTGCGAAATTGAGGCCGTTACGGAATCCCTCAAATTAAACGATAAAGAAGAAGTAGAATGTGAGGATCATTTTGTGAAAACACATCAGCGGGATATCAAGGGTAGATATGTAGTGACTCTACCGTTAAGGCAAGACGTACAGTTGTGTGACTCTTCGCAGCTGGCCACACAACGTTTAGATCATTTATGGAAGAGACTAGACAAAACTCTGACATGTCTAAGATGCAATGTGAATTCGTGAGTGAATATGAAACATTAGGACATACGCAAAAGATGGAGAGTGTGTCGAAAACTCCTAAATGCATAATGCCCTCATGGTGTTTATAGAGCAGAGAACAGTACAATTAAGTTACAAGTGGTATTCGACGCTTCGGCTCCTTCATCGTCTGGTTTTTCATTAAAAGACTGCTTGGTGAACGGTGTGGTTCAAGATGACCTGTATTGAAAAACCCCACAAATGATTTCTGCATCGACGTTAGAGGGCGCTCTTCTTCGGAGAAAAGAAATTTAGTTAGCTCAGTTTGCGACGTAGTAGATAATAACCACCGATACTCTTCTGCTTGGTTATTGTAAATAAAATTATTATTTTTGTAGAATGTGGAATTATTGGCCTCTATTATAACTAAGTATGACCAGAGCTCTCTTAAGTAAGTCAATACTATAATATAATATTTGTTTTCATATTTTTTGGTGCATCGGCCGGGAAAAACAAATACGCTGTTTTGTGCTTCGAATATAGTAATAAGTATTGCTAACTTTGGCTTAAATTATGTGCTGCTATCTTTGGATGCCTTGTTCCAAGTAAGATAACTATGAAGATGATTCAGGATAAGATTTAATATTCTTCTTTTGTTAAGAAATGAATCTTAGAATGCAAATTACTTTCGTTTCGATTGAACTGATGGCTGAACAAGTTGCAAATGATTTCTAACTCCTCTTCTTTGTTTAATTAAAATCAGAAGAGAAATTTAGTTAAATGAAGATGTCAAGTTAATTTGAAAGCATTATTAAAAAGTGATTTCGAAATGGAAATCTCAAAGGCTAAAAGGGCTACGCTTAGATCTCTTACAACAAGATTAATTTCTAAAATCGAAGCTAAAAGTTTAGAAAATGAAACAGGAGAAGAAGAGTTGGAAGAAATTTCAGAACAGATAAATTTGAAATTTAAACAGTTAAAAGAAATAGATTCTGAAATTCTAATTAAAAGAAAAGAAATAGATTTTGAAACTTAAATATTTTTAACTAAAAACGTTTTTTTACTAAAGTCAAATTACGGATGAAACTAAAATTATTAAATGCGACGAGTATTATGAAAAACTGATTAATTGCTCATGTAAGTTGAAAGCTTCTATCACTAAATGTAAATCAAGTAAACAAAGAACGCAACAACAATCTATTAGCTTATTAAAATTAGAAAAACAATTCGTTAAATTACCGTCGTTAACAGTAAGAAGATTAGATGGCGATCCTGCCGATTGGCAAAGATTCTAGGATCAGTTTGAATCCCTGATACGCAGAAATGAAGATTTATCTAACGCATACAAATTTAATTATTTGCACTCATATTTAACTGGAATAGCCACAAATGCAATTAAAGGAATTACACTCACAAATCAAAATTACGAAGCAGCAATAGAAACCTTAAAGGAAAGATTTGGACAAAAAACTTTGGTCGTTAATTCTCATTTGAATAAGCTGTTAAAGCTAACACCTGTTAGGAAATCAACAGATGTCTCTCTGCTTAGAGAGTTGTTAGATACTTGTCAAACAGAAGTTTGCAATTTAGAAGCCTTAGGGGTAAATGCAGAAACTTATGCTTCTCTATTATGTACCATATTGATTAAATTGATACCGCAAGATTCTAGAGATCACTAAAAATTGCGGTAAAGACGAAGATTGGAAGGTCTCAAAAATAATTAATATTCTAAAATCAGAAGTTGAAAGCAGAGAAAAAAACCTTATTTTTGACACGCAACAAATATTCAAATGAACACGAAACAAAATTTCAAGCACCGTTAGGAAAAGCTAGTGATCCAAGTGTAAAGCTTCAACACCGAAACACTTTCGTGAAAGGAATTCATAAAAAGTACATCATCAGCAATGACATTCAATATGACGCTGACTACATGCATTTTCTGTTCTGCACCGCATGATTCATTTAAATGTAAAATGTCACCTCAAAATAAAATTGAAGTTTTAAAGGATACCAAACGTTGTTTCAAATGTTTGAAAATGTATCTATCACATTGGTAAAAACTGTCGCTATAATAAACCTTCCTGTTTCAAGTGCAAAAGCAAAAGTCATCATAGTTCCAATTGTCTGGGTAATAACCGAAATAATAATACTGCAACAATTAATCAAACAAATGAGGACAAATGCAAAGAATCATTGAATTTAAATTGTAATGCTAAAGATGCTCAAGAGTTAAATAATTCTAATGCTGAAACTATCAGTTCAGTTTCACATTGTAATGCAAGCATGACATGTTCCAAAAATGTTTATTTACAAACATGTGCAGTTGCTTCAAATTTAGAATTTAATTCTAAAGAGACTAGGCTTTTACTCGATAATTGAAGTCAAAGACGTTTCTGCACTGAACATTTAGCGAACACGTTCAAGTCAAAACTTATTCGTTATGAATTACTGTCTGTTTATTCCTTCGGAATGGAATGCGCTTCAGAGAAGAAGTATCCAGTAGTCGAATTTGAAATCAAAGCTAGACATAATACGCAGTATTCGATTAGAATCGAAACTCTCGTTATTAGCATTACCGGTATACGTCGTATTAGCATTACCGGCGTCATAATTTCTCCTCCGGATAAACAAGTGTCAGAATTCATGACTAGCCATAAACTACCGCTCGCTGGCTCATGCTGCGAAAATAAGTATTTGGATGTTGAAATCTTAATAGGATCCGATATATTTTGGAAATTTATTTTAGATGAAAAAATCGCAATAAATAAACATTTAGGTGCATTAAAACTGTCTTTGGATGCGTAATTACAGGTTCGAAATTTGGAAAAGCGGAAGCTTATTTACAAAATATTACCATTATGAACAATGCAATAATGAATGACCTAAGAATGTTTTGGGAATTAGACTCAATTTGTATTTCAAAAGAAAACGTAGTTAAAGATAAACAAGTTACAACAAAAGGTAACAAAACCTTGTTAAAGATAAACAAATAATTAATCAATTTGAAAATTCTTTATCCTTTGATAATTGAAGATATCAAACTAAATTGCTTTTGAAATCTAATCCTGATGAATTAAATACTAATTTTCATATTGCAAAGAAGAGTTTTGAGATTTTTGAGAGACAGATCGTATAAGGATGTAGAAATGCGTAAGGAATGCACAAAAATAATTCAAGATCAACTCGATGACGGAATTGTTGAAGTATATCAAAATAAAGATTTCGAATCAGGTTATTATATGCCCCACAGAGCAGTAATAAGCCCAGATAAAGGAACTTCTCGTGTTAGAATTGTTTTCGACGCGTCATGTAAAGAAGAAATTACTATATCCTTAAATGATCTGTTACAGGTTGGACCTAATTTAAATCCTAACATATTAGATGTCATTCTTAAATTTCGAGAACATGATATCGCTTTTTCCGCTGATATAGAAAAAGCATTTCTAGTGATAAGTATTGCCGAGGAAGATCGCAAATATTTAACATATCTTTGGTTTCAGAATGACAACAGTGAATCGTTCAAAATTATGAACATGACACGTTTACTATTTGGTATTAGTACCAGTCCATTCATTCTAGCAGCCACAATAAAACACCATATTAAATAATCTGTCACTAAAAATCCTGAAAGTTATGAAATGCTGAATTCATCTTTATGTGTCGAGAATTTGTATTATGGAACGAGTACAGTAGAAAAGGCATACCAATTTTCATCTGATGCAGTTACGATTTTAAAGCACGTGAGTATGAATCTGCGTAAATTTAATACCAATTCTAAGGAGTTAAAAAATGGTTTCTCAATGAATGATTCCTTAGTGCAAGCTAAAATTTTAGGTCTCTATTGAATACAAAAAATGATACTATTAAACTAGATGTAAAATTTTTAGAATCATCTTCAACTAATTGTGTGTTATATACTAAAAGAACAGTACTACACGTTACTGCTAACATTTATGATCCAACTGGATTTTTATCACCATTCGTGGTCAGAATTAAAATCCTACTACAATAGATATAGGTAAAGGGTCATGATTTGGGACGAACAGCTTCCAAATGATATTGAAACTGAATTTAAGAAGTGGATTGTAGAAATAATTCATTTACAAGAAATATCGATAGATAAAAAATACTTTCGAGATATTGATAAGCAAAATAGTGACATTTTATTACATATATTCTGCGATGCGAGTAATAACGCATATGGATGTGTAGCATATTTCAGATATACAAATAAGTTTGGTGAAATCAAAACTAGTTTCATTTTATCAAGGACCAGAGTAGCTCCTCTTAAAAGCTTAACATTGCTCCGATTAGAATTGATGGGAGCATTGATGGCAGCTAGACTTGCAAAATATCTAATTAAATTCTTTAATAATATTTCTCAAACAGATATATTTATGGACAGATTCACAAATCGTATTATATTATACTGGATTAAAGGATCTTCTAGATACTGAAAGCCTTTTGTATCTAATAGGGTTGCAGAAATTCAAGCCTCGACAAATCTTAATAACTGGAAACATTGTAGCGGTAAGAAAAATCCTGCTGATATTTTTAAATTTTTCAAAACCTGGAGCTAAAAGGCTAAGGGGAAGGGAATACACAAGAGAATATGGTACTATATTTTAAGTAAATATTGTCATTTTACTATGGGAACTGTTCTATCGATAGATTGAGGAGTACATACCACACTATTTATCCACGTTAAATGACAAAACTACGCGTTTTGCGCAGAGGTTTGGGGCCGTCAATAATGAATGGGCTAACAGGTGTGATTAGGTTACTTTGTTCATGGTTTATCTGCATAAAATTTTAGCTTAATACCCTTTACACAAGCCATTTCTAAAGTTGTTGGCTACTATGGATTTCATGAGATGTTACATAAAATATACATGTGTGTACTCTACTTTACTGCAGATAACTTATTTTGCATCTCAAAATAAATTATATAACACCTCTAAGAGAGATTACGGTATTTATGTAGTATGCGACCTACCGCTTTATTCGTCAGCTATTTCACAGATGGCAGCACTGAAACTTTATTTTTAGATATGAAAATAAATAGGAATACATTAATGAAAAAAATTCCATTAATTAATTTAATGACCTATGAAAATTTGAATTCCACTAAACTTAAAGGTTCAAGTTACATTTAAGGGCGATTTTGGATGGATATTTGTCTTAATTCTGCAATCAATATCAGCGTATTAAAATAAAACAATTAAAAATGAAATTCAGAATACATACATGATTACTAATTTAACTGTTAAATTTCAAAAAATTTTGTAAAGATATTTTTAAAAGTTAAAAGTATAAAAATTGTAATATTTTTTAAATGTTGCAATTTTATCTTGATATGCAGATTTCTGTATAATATTTGAAACATTTTAAAGCTATTTAAATATGCCTGGTAGACTAAGATAAGTTCCCGAAACGTTAAAGACTCCTAACAGACGAGCTATTCAAAATGGCAAATGCAAGGGATAGGAGGAAAGAAAAATTGTATAACAGTATTTCAACGCAAATTAACGCCATGTAAACTTTATCACTTACTTGCTAAAGAAAAGACGTGATTATTTAATGCATGGTGTGAATTTTTTTCACACGATAGTCTGCATACTGGGATTTCAACAAATATTCTTCTCAAATTTTGAAACATTTTATTTTGCCAAAACAAATATGAGAACAATAAATTCTTGAAGTTGATTAATAATTAATAAATTAAAAATTGCATTCGTCGACTTAGTATAAAACAGCAAATTATCTACAATCTCGTAATTTTGGGCTCTATTTCTAATTGGGGCAAGGTCTGCATGTTCAAAATTATCTCGATCCTTTAAATAAGCATAGATATTACCGAATTCTGGATAATTTATCAACTCAGAAATGATAGTTTCTCGGGAATCTAAAACTTTAGACGTCAAAATAGCACATTTTATTTGATCATCATTTTCGTCTATCTTGAGTCTTGATAGCGCGTCGGCCAAGGTATTCTCTTGCCTGGAGTATGCTTAATTATTAAGTTGTACTCTTGTAATTTTACGACCCATATAATTAGAATCGGAGTTAAATTTTTCCCGAATATAGTCTACCTACGACCGCATGGTCTGAATATACAGTGACGTGTTCTTTTTCGAAATATATAGTCGAATCTTCTGAACTGCCATTAACACGGTTAATGTTTCTTGCTCGGTCGCTGTGTAGTTACGTTGTGTGGTGTTTAAAGTTTTACTAAAAAATGCCAGGGGATGCCAATTTTGCATTAATACTTGCGCCCACGGCATAATCTGAGGCGTCAGCCGCAATCTCCAAGTTATCATCTCCCTCCGAAAACTTTAACACCGGGCAAGCTGTTTTCAGTTGTTCAAAGGTTGTGTTTGCCTCAGCTGTCCGCACAAACTTTAACTTCTATCGTTTTAACACTAGCAAAGGTTCAACAATATTAGCGAAATTTTGAATAAAAGAACGATAGTAAGAGCACAAGCCAAGAAAAGATGATAGCTTCTTTGCCGTATTTGGTGCAGGATAATTTTTAATAGCTTTAATTTTAGAGTCCTCTGTTTGAATACTCTTAGCTGAAAGTTTGTAACCTAAATTTCGTAATTCTTTGGTTGCGAACTTACATTATGATGCATTTACGGTTAACCCCGCTTCCTTCAGTAATGAAAAAAATTTCGTGGAGATCTTTTACATCTTCGTCAATGGTATCGTTTGTTATAATGATATCATCTAAATAAATTAAAGTGATTTCCCGAGGACAGGACGTAAAATAATATCCATGGCACGTTGAAAAGTTGACGGGGTCTCGCAAAGCCCAAAAGGCATATGTAAAAACGTATGAGTGCCTGATTTTGTGATAAAGGCAGTTTTATTTACGTCGTCTGGTTTCATGGCTATTTGAAAATAGATTGAAGTAAGATCGAGATTGGTCATAAATTTTGTAGACCTTATTTTCCTAATTATCTCCTCAATCACCGATAAAAGGTAAACCGGAAATTTAGTTAAACTATTGAGTTTTTTATAATCAATTGCAAACCGATAGGCTTTTGGATCTGTGGGGGAGGGGCAAATTATTCCTCTTTTTGCAGACCATAACAGGGCTTGCATATTCATTATTTTTGGGGAGTTATAATTTTATTCTTTAACATCTCATGTGTATGGTACTCAATTATTGCCTTTTTCGCCTTATTGTATTTATAAGGTTTCGATTTACAAGGTTCAGTTGAATTTAGTTCGATAGAAAGAGTTACTATATGTGTATTCCCTGGCTTACATAAAGTAATGAAGAAAATTTACTTACAATTTTTTGCAGCTTAGATCTTTCATCTTGCTTTACATACTGGAGGTCAATTTCTGGAACTTTTCAGCAGCATCCACCACCCTTGGTTTCATATCGAACATAATTGAGTTACTTGAAAAATCAATTCTGGCGTTTGCGGCCCTCAGGAATTCAGTTCCCAGAATTACTTTATTCTGCAAATGTTTCACCATGTAAAATAGTATTTTAAGATTTTCTTCTTTAATTTGCACGTTAAGTGACAGTTTCTGCATGCATTCGCACACTTTCCCATGAGCGGCTATTATTTCCGTCATATTGTTTTTAAATCACCTAACATTTCTGAAATTTCTGCAATAAAAATTTATATTTAGGAAGTTCCCCTCAGCTCCGGTGTTCAAGAGTGCTTCTACGGGTACATTGTTCAGAAGAACATGTATTTCAGGTAATTGGAAATTGTTTACTACCACATTTTAGAGGGATTTTTCGATTCCCACTGGGTCTGGACCCTCAAATTCACAGGCCCCTCTATTCGTTTAAAGGCGTTTTTACTCTTGATGTTTCCTCGTACGTTGGCGGGTTTTGGCTTCATCCTTATCATTCTTGCTCATTGACGGCTTAGCTGAAAAACGTTTTCCTCCGTCGTATTTATTTCTTTCCGCGACTGGCTGTCGGGATAACTACTGATTACATCTCTGGGCAGGAAATCTTAATTCTTCTGCTATCCACCGATTCTGAAACTTTACGGCTAACTCAAATAATTCTTCGAGCGTTCTAGGATTTCGGAGTTCCGCGATGTCTTGAATAGCGGGTTATAACCGTGGCAATATGATTTCAATGACTTCGCTGTCAGGTTTCCCACCGTACAGCATGTTCTGTAGCTTGACATTTTGCAGGATAAACTCGGTTAGTTGTTGAAGCTTCCGTTGAAAAATGCTGTAAAATTCGGCTTCAAGCTTCGCACAATCTTTAACTATAAGGAACGCTTTTAGGAGCGCCCCTTTGAAATTCTCGAATGTGTAGGTTATGCTTTCGACTTCTCCAAGTAGGAATTTTCCAATTCCTTTCCACCACGCCTGTGCCTGTCCACGGAGGGCACTTGAAGCAATAGCTACTTTCTCCTTTCCGGTACCGGGCACAATTGGAAATGAGTATCAAGTCTTCCAGAAATGAGGTGACACAGTTCTTGCCGTCGAATACCACTGCTGGTTTAATTACTGCCTTCATTATCTGTATCAGGAAGACAAATCTATCCAGAGGGTTGGTCACCATTGGTCTACAACTCCTGATCCTTGTGGAGATACTTGTTCGTTGACCATCGGATTCGCGTAT